TATGAGCAATAATTGTGGAAAGTTGAGATCAAGTGAAAGATCTATACTCTTATCTTCCAACATAAACTCCCTATGTTAGGTAAAATAAGATTCTATCGCAACAAAGGTAACATCCACAGACACATAAAATTTTTGTGTGAATGGACAATAACACTTGTACCCCTTTTGAGAAAAAAAATACCCACAAACACACATATTAAAGCTCTATGATCAAGTTTCTCTCTTTAGTGGCTATGATATGAACAAACGCAACAAACCAAATATCTGAGGGACTGAATGGTTTGTGAAACTAACTTCTTTGTACGTTTTGGAAAGGATTTCCAAAAAACTCTTAAAATCAAGGATACTAACACCCTATTTGGATAAATTTTACTGATTGTTAATTAATATATGACAATGCCAGTGATTGGATGACAATGATACAGGATGAGAATAACAAAACTTTTTTATATTTGGATAATTGTATATTAATGTATGTTAATAACATTTTCGTTTGGATGATTGGATGGTATGATTGTATTTTCAGTTAAATTACTAATTTACCTTTACCTATTATATGTAATAGCAAATGGTATATAAAAATGATGAAATGAAAAAAAAAATAAATTGTTTACCAATATAATTATATTTATATTTAAATAAATAATTATTACATATAATTAAATTAAATTTTTATATTTAATAAAATAAATAATAATTATTTATATTATCACATTAATTTAATTTTAATAAAAATTAAATTATTTATATATTAAAAACAAATGGTTATAATTATATATTATTATATTAAATCTAAAATTATTTCAACAAATAAAAAATTAAAATGTGTTTGAAATAATCATATATTATGAATTAATTTATTAATTAATATTATTTAAAAAATTAATCATCAATAAAATTTCATTTGTGAGGATAAAAATAGAATTAAATATATTACATGGGGTATAAGAGAAAAAAAAAATAATCTGTCGATCATATACCATCGATTCGGTGGTTTTGAAATTTATCCCAAATTTGTCGATCAAATACCGTTTGCTACTATTGGAAGTTGAAACAAACATGATTTTCTCACACTCGTGAAGTACCATACATTAATTGTCTATCATTCACCACGATCTAAATAGGATGTAAAGAGTAATCAATTAATAGTGTAAGTAATAGCAATAGTTGCTTCCCTTCAATACTGTTTAGTAATATGATTATGAAATAAGAAGACTCAAGTAGTAGCAAGGAGGTGATTATTCTTTTGTTCCACTATCCCATTTTGTTGTAGAGTGTGGACACATGATGATTGGGTAATGAGTTTGTTTGTGATAAGCCTTACACATAATGTTTCGTGTGTAAAGAGGTGATTATTTGGACACATGATGTTTTATGTATTATAAGCTGTACACATGATGGGGGAACAAAAGGCTTATTTGAGAAAGAACTATATGGCTCATTTGGACACATGATGTTTCAGCGGGTTTCTCTTCTTCCTGGAGATTAACTGCATGGGCTTGTTTGTAAGGCTTCGACAGGGAGTTCTTGTTACCTCATTCTTTGCTTGAAACAGAGCTTCCAGCATTTTTCCCTGGTGTATCGAAGTTTCTTACAGGAGGTACACTATAAATTATCCTCCTCTCCTGGGTTTTCATTGTTACTCAGCTCTTCCACTTACCGACGCGCTTTAGAAGCTTTAGTTGTCATTGTTGAGTTGTTAGTAGAGTAGGTTTCTAGCATAATCTCTCTCATGCTTTCTTCAGCACTAACAAGGGATATTATCTCATTCAGAGATGACATCTCTTCTTTTTCCAAGATCTGAGTTCTTACCTGATCGTATTCTTCATTGAGTTTTGCTATGAACTGATATGCCTCTGTCTTTCTCCACCATCTTCTTCAGGGTAGTGTCATCTTTCTTGCTTTTCATTGTGAAGCAAAATATTGATCAAGCTACTGCCACCAGATTTTTAATAGGTTAGTGTACCCTGTGACTAATTTATTTCCCTATGTTGCTAATGAAGTTTTTACAGTCAAATCATAGATTAGGGCTGCATCTATTACTTCGGAAAAGGTTTCTTTGATTGAATCTCATACTTCGTTAGTGTTGGGTAAGAACATAACGGTATTGTTTATCTCTGGTGTCACTGGGTTCCAGAGTCAAGTTATTATCACTTAATTCTCTACATCCCATGCATCAAAATTTGGGTCTCCTGGTTTTGGTCCGGTGCCCAGAATGTAGCTGATTTTTTCCTTCTTTTATGATGATCTTAATCAATTATAATCAATTCAATTAATTTTTTCTATTGAAACGATAAACAACTAAGACTGGTTGGAATTCTCCATTAATTTGTGCAGAATTTTTCATGTGGGAATTTGTATCAGTGATTTGAGACATAACCTCCAATATAATTTAGGTTTTAGGACAACTAAGACTAATTAAATAGAGCTTCCACAACAACCGTCGAGAATAATTGCATTGTATTTTCTTTCAATTATACGTCCTCATATATACACTTTCTATGGATAAGCAAAAGGAAAGCTACAATTAATACAAAGGATGTATTTTACTTTAATTCCCTTGAACCTAATTTAACCCTATTTATACATAAAAAACATTCTTTAAAAGTTTAGAATCCGAATTCTGAAATTCCTCAAGATTCATCTAAATAACTTCCGCAAATTTCTATTTGGTTAGCTATACAATTAAATTACTGTCAGGAATCTGTCCTGATCAGTGAAAAAATAAAGGAAGAAGAAGAATTGCAGGAGAAACAGAAAAAAATTAAAAGAAGATGAGAGCAGAATTAGAATTTAGGGAGAAGAAAGAGTAAGGTAAATGAAGAGAAAAGAGGAATTACTTTAGAGAGAAATTTGAAATCATTCATATATTTTCTGGATTGCAACACCATCTTTTATAGCAAAAAAGTAACTAATTGAAACTAATTTCTAACTAATTAAAACAACCTAACTAATTATGTGTAACAAATTCTAACCACTATTTGGGGCCTGACAATTACCTCGAGAAGTTCCTTTTCGTGATCTTTATAGAGATCTGCAACTCTTCTCCTGACCTTCGCGTAATCTTCAGCATTTGTATACATGAAGGACAAGTTTTCAAGTTCAGACTGCAGATGTTATCCAAAAATACAAAATCCAATTAGAAGGTCACGGAACCATTAACAAGAAATGGGACTTAAATAAGCAAGCTTCTTAAAGATGAAATGAGATTTTTAAATCATTTCTACTTGCAAATTAGTTCTGAATTCATTTTTGAGCCTTCATTTAAACTGGCATCAGTATAACATTGTTAAAGTGCAGACTCAAACTAGCAGACAATGATTTAGCATCTTTCGAAAAATAAAGTATCTATGTAATGTTTACTCCGAAAGCCTATAATCAAACAGAACGGGAATTGATATGATTCCATAAGATTTCCAGATGCTTACCTTTATTTGATACATCCCTAACAATTTAGCCAAAGGAGCAAACACCTGCAGTGTCTCCCTTGAAATGCTGGACTGAAGATAAACTAGCAATGTTAGAATATCGATTATTTGGTCTATAGTTTTAAAAAATTGCAACTGACTAATAATATTGCACCTGCTTATGCGGAGGCATGTGGGAAAGAGTACGCATGTTATGTAACCTGTCAGCTAACTTGACAATGATAACCCGGACCTAGAAGCAATCTCAGTTGCTATCAGTTTCCAACATAAACAATAACACAACCAACAAATACAATTCTTAGGTTATACCTCCTCCGTCATGGCTAGAAACATCTGGCGCAGGTCATCAGCTTTCACATCTTGCACAGAATCATTTTCATTCGTACACTTCAACTTTCCTAACTTTGAAACCTAATTAGAAGAGGACATAAAAACGACTATAAACAATCCAACATTTTTCTAAATGTGGAGGTTTGTCCAACATCACGTTTCAAACTGTTAAAAAAGAAGATTTGTTTAAAAAATAAACAAATAGATAAATCAAAGCACCTTAGTCTCTCCTTCTACAATGTGCCGTACAGTAGAGCCGAATTCCTCCTCTATTCTTTCAAATGTAACAACATTAGTATCTTCAACTGTATCATGAAGTAATCCAGCAGCAATAGACTCCCAATCCAATTCCTAAGGAAGATCAGCCCAGAGCTAAGTTTGAGAAAGGTTCCAACTTAGAGACGATTGTTCAGAGATTTTTTTTTTTAAGTTTAATAACTCACAAGTTCACCAAGAATTCGTGCAACTTCTACTGGATGAATGATGAAGGGCTCTCCACTACGCCTTTTTTGACCATCATGTGCTTCAAATGCCAGCTGTACCAAAAGAAAAAAAAAACATATCTAACTGGCAGTAACCACTGAAAAAAAATAACAATAATAATGAAATATCAAACTTGCCTAACAGATAAGACAATTACTTATGGAGCAGAAGCCCTACCTTAAGAGCATTCTGTACCAATTCCAGTTCCTTGGGCAAAAGGTAAGATATAGTGCGCTTAAGGTCCTGAGGCAATAACCAAGCCATGTTCAGGAAAGCAAGGACTTCATCAATGAATATCCCAATTTGACAAGTGACATAGCAATACAATGGTTTAAAAACAGTCAATTATACCTCCCACAAGCTTTCAGGAGAAACTTCATCAAAGTCTTCTGAGGAGATTGATGAAGAGCAACACAACTGCCATCTTTTAATAGCAACATGAAATAAGTTCAATCTGAAGAGTTGTGAAAGCACAAAGTCTGATGACTCAGTGGCAAACAAGCCACCTGCATCGAAGTGTTCAGACCTCTGCCAAGAGCACATGGTTGAAAAGGTATTAGAAAGCAAACAAGCTTGTCTGTACAAGCATCATAGCTGGAAAAAGATCAGACGAATCAAAAGTTGTGTAATAATAACTTAGTTCCATCCAGACAAAATATAAAGTCAGCTCCATTCAACTCTGTACCATTAAGAAGCCAACTATTTTACCGTAAAATATTTTACAAGGTATTTCCAGGTAGTGAAATCGATCTCATTTAATACTCCTGAATCAACATCAAGAATATTCCTGGATACATTATAATTTATTACTACTATGCATTTCAAACTTAACACACTAAGTCTGAGATCTATATGTTCAGTCATCACTCATGAACTTTGCTTCAAGTTCCTTTGTTTCCTAATACTGTTTCAATCTTATGATCCTGAATTTCATGAAAGCTCAATAAGCTTGACTATACGAGCATTATAGCTGGAACAAGATCATAAGAAGCAATCATAGATTTATTGCTAATTGACCCTTATTAGTATTTCACTGCAAAAAAACTGCAATTAAAAAAATTGCATTACAAGTTCAACAAGCTATGAAGCTTCCAAATTATAGATTTCCAGAAAAAAAGAGAAAACTCTCCTGACTCTTGTCTGGCATAGTCCCGTAACCTAAATCAGACTAAATCAATTAAAAGGCTAATAACAACTCTACTTATATGTCGATAATAAGATATACCATAGTAGAGAGGCTTACATATCTGATGCGATATTTTCGTCCACTTCGTCCATGTAAGGCCGACGGACACTGTGGAGGATGAGCGGTGCTTGCCAGAAATCCAGTCAAAACCCTCGGAGCTTTCCACGCACATGAGAAAGCATTGCAGTCGTATCTCCCATTACCTTCTCCTTTTGTCAACTTACATACGTTCACGCATTCCACAGAAACTACAATATTATAATATTGAAAAAAGGAATTAAAAACCCCAATAAAAGAAACGAAAAGGAGACAATAGATAGTAATTTTTCATAACTCTTTCAGTTACTAAGAAGATAAAAGGCAATTGGTCTTACTTGCTGCTAAACAGTAATCTATGCTAGCAAATGGAAAATCTGAACTAAAATTAGCTAACTATCAAAACAAATGGATGTACTACGCAAGTTCAGCGGGCAATCGTCAGTAGGCATTCTTAAAGAAAAAAAAAAAGAACTTACTAATTCGACCTCTCCACATTTGCGCGGCAACCGAACAAGGGACAAATGATTAACTAGACTTACGATAGAGAAAAAGAAAGGAAGAAAGAAAGAGCGCACCTGACATGGACGAAGCACAGGCCATTTGTAATAGAACAGAATAATCTCATTGAATCAACCAGGCATTAAAACAACAGGTACAGCACACACCGCAAGGCTCAAGATTACAGAATCAAACAACGCTCTTTTGATCAGACAAGGAAGGGATGGCGGAAGAGAAACAGATAAAGCTTTCTGCTGAGCAAAGAATTGCAAGATTGTCTCTTTCAATCCTCTCAATCAATGGAGTTTTTGCGTTGTGTCCTGTTGCCGGGAAGCGTTTCGATGGCGAACACACAACCGATAGATTTCAAATACCATGGCAGCTCAAGAGATAATCTAGAGAGAGAGAGAGATTCAGCTTCGCCTAAGCCACACAAATACCGTCTGATAAAAAGATATTTTTTTCTTTTTTCTTTCTCCCGTTTATAGGTGACTAGGAAGTTTCATTTCTGTTACTGTTCCTCTTCGGTAATTTGCAGGTGAATTGTTTTCGCGATGGGAAGAAATCCACCGCGACGCAACTATCTTCTGTTTTCAGTGATCGAGTTAGAAACTGACACGTAGCCCATGGGATGTCAGTGGCCCCATTCTGATTGGTTTTCGATTATCATAAGTGACCTTCGCGTAGATTTGCAGGCACTCGCGTTTGGATAGGAATAAACCGAGTTGTTGAGATTGGAGAGTCACGTTTTATGATGTGCAAAAAGAACGAACGGGTAGGCAGCAAGAACTAGAATAGCACAAATGGGATAGAATTAAAATTTATTTTCTTAATTTTTTTGTAAATTATTTTTTTTTCCTTTTAAAATTAATGTATTTTAAAAAATTACCTAACTAGTTTTAACAAAAATATTTATTTCCTAAATTATTATATTATTCATTTATTTTATAAACAAATTAATATAAATATGTTTAATATATATAAATTATATAATCAGTGACATTAAAAAATATAAATCAAATTAATAAATTAGTGTTAAAAGTTTTGACTCCTCTTACAATTTAGTTTTTTAATTATAATTTAATTTCTAATATTTTTTATTTAGTTGAAATATTTAATTTTTTATTTTTAATAAAAAATTAAAATAATTAACATATAAATCCTTTAAATAATTAATTAATTAAATTAATAGTACTGTATTCATTTATCATATTAATTTAATTAATTAGTAAAGTTATTTTTTAAATTATTTTGTAAAATAATTTTTCTATAATGTGTCAAATTATATGAAATTTTTTTAATTTACTGTAAGTTATTAAATAAATAGATAATTAAGTTAATAAATTTTAAGAAAATTTTAATTATGAGATATAAATTGTTTTAAAGTAATTATACTTGTTTTAATTTAAAAATAATTAAGTGAAAATGAGTTAATAAATTTAAAGTTTTTATTAATTTTAATAAAATTTAAAATATATTGTTATTTTTACAGAAAACAAAAAATTACAATGTCTGAATTTTGAAATAAAATTTTATCTAATATACCGAACCATGTTTATTACAGAGAATAATTTCTTTTGCACACGACAAAACGAGGAAAGAGGAGAAAAAGAAAAAGTCTTTCCAGCTAATTGAAGCAAGGATCATGCAGATCAGATTCTAATACATAAAATTAGCAGCGTCTGATTTGCCGGCAGTTATCAATAAAACCAAATACAGTACTGTGCGTTTGTCTTCCTATGTTTTATCCACCAACCAATATTAAATTAAAACAATGAAGAAATAATGAATTTTTTTGGTTTTTTAATTAGTAATGTAGTAAATTAGTAATGTTCACGGATCCATATATATATATATATATCCCATTTAGGCTATAACTTGTCATGGGATTCATGTCCTCAAATAAGTGCTTTTATACAGGTAGAAGTTGGAAGCTAGACAGGTAATTCAGCTCTTTCTCTCTCTTTCTCTTTCTCTATAAACTGACATCAGAAGGAGATGATTGCATGGTGCAGAAGTCTTCTCCTCTAAGTAAGCAAATCACCTGATTGAACACAAGTTAAAAAATAAAGAAATCATTTCATAGATCTAGAATGAAAAAATTGTGTAAAAGAGGTTTAGCTCAACCTAAAATGTAAAAGTTTATATAAGTTATCAAATTCCTCAATATCATATAAGCTGAATATATAAACTATATAAATAAAAAGTTAGATTCCGATAATTTTGTAAAAACATTATGCAGAGGTTTATAAACTGTACACCTTAAAAAGTTTTTGTTATTTACCTAATACGTAAAAAGAATTTAAAATCCGTTTGAGAATTTATAACTTCGTACAGACAAAAAATAAGATTAGCCAAATACTTTCTGAAGAAGATCACCGGATTGATACCTGGCTCATGGAGGGTCGAGTATTTGGCTTAGTTCCAGTGCACTTGGTGGCTGCAGCCATCACTCTGTAAATCTCAATCATGTCTGGCTTATCTGAATCTTCTTCGATTAGCTTGTGGAATTTTCTCTGGAGCATTAAAGGTCGAGCCTGCAAAGTACAAGGAGTTGTGAATTATGTGTTGGATTAGGTTAGGCCAGCTGAAACATTTAGTTTGCCAGCAGAGAGAGGATGACTTTAAAGCAGTGGAAAGAGGTAAAATTTACTGACCCACTTAACCAAACTTCCATCCTCCTCTGGCGCTGATTTTGCACAGAAAAGCCTCAAGAGCAGAACTCCAAAAGAAAAGACATCGGATTTAACAAGCTCTATTGTTTCATGCACTAGATCATCCTCGGACCAGAGCCTTAAACACCATTTTCAAGTTAGTCTTGTATCAATTCTTTTGCTGCGACTTTGCAATTCAATCAAATGAATCATAATGGAAAAAGAAAACACTTGACAATTAACTAAGCCCTCTTTTCCCCAAAGAATACATGGTAAAGTTGGATCAACATATCACCCGAAAAAAGAAATTTGGCATGTTACATACTTTTTGATGGCTATTGGTGATGCCTGTACGAGATGAACAAGCCATGTAGCTTGTGCAAAGCCAGAGATCTATTAGAATCAAATTAAACCACAATTATGAAACAAAACATAAAACCTTATTTAACTATATTGTTTGGGATTCTATTAATTTTCACCAGTGGCTGTAAGTCATGTCTCAGAAGAATGTTGCTTGGCTGCAAGTCACCATGAACAACAGGCCCTCCAGGACACTCCTCATGCATATACCGGAGTCCTTGGGCAACACCCATTGCAATCTTCATCCTTTGTTGAAATGTCAACTCTGACCTTCTTCCCCTCAAGCCTGTTCTAATAATAAAACCAACTGGTGAGATTGCATTGGCTACAACCAAGAAGAAAAATCATAATGCATTCATCATTTACATTTGTTACTACAGGTTAGTTACCTTTGCCTATTACAGTCATAAACCATTAAATTTGTGGATAAGAGATCTAGAACTCACCGCAAATGTATTTGTCTAATGTTCCTTCCCTCAACAGGGGAAATACTAAAATTGTAGCGTGTTGACTCTGGTGGTAACCAATTAAATGCAGTATGTTCCTATGAGACAGAGATAGGGCCGCTCTCTTTTCTGCTTCAAAAATGCTGATTGAATCACCTATCAATCGCTTTACTATAACAAAATTGTGATGCTCTAAGTGGCCAATATAAGCCATGCAATTCTTCATTTTCCCGCAGAAAGCCCTTGAAATAAACCCACATGTCATATCCACAATTACTTCCCAGCTTAGGTCCAAAGGAAGTCCTAGCACAGCATTGGCCTCATACACCTTTCTTGGGGCAATAGTATTGTACAATGCTGTCTCCTTTGTTGGTCGCACCACTTTTGTTATAGTTTCAACTTTCTCATACTGCTCAGGCATGGCCTCCTCACCTTCTTTGGTCACACTTGGCAGAGGATCAGCTGGAGGGCAAGGGTGAAAAGCAGAGGATGGCAAGTCAAGTGGCTCCTCTGTCAATATTGATCCCTTCCTTAGCTTTGGAGACTTTGGGTTTTGTGTATCTTCCATGACTAACAAACCTTTAGGTCCATCATTCCAGAGGCCATTCTGTGGTATGGTCTCCTCATCATCACCCACCAAGATCACATTGCATTCTGTGCCGCTCAGTCTGAAAGTCAGGTCTCTTGAAAAGCACCTGAAATCCACAAACAATTTCTTGGTATGAAATTGATTATCAAGCACTTTGAAATAGCATATCTTTACTAACCATTGGCTAGAAATCCTTAATTTACATCTGAGTCGACCATCTTTGCTGCTATGAACAACATTTGCGTAAGTCAAAAAACTTTACTATGAAGTGGGAAAGTCAGGGAACATGGGAGGAACCTATCTATTATGATCGAAGTGGCATGCACATTTGTTGCCTCCTCAACAATGATATCTTTTGGCTGGAATCCTGCTGCAATCTTCACATGAAGCTTCACCTATCACAGAAGCTAAAGGGTATATATATGTGTTGGGAGCAGGATTAATACAAAGAATTAAAATTTAATGCAAGAATAAGAAAAGACATCCTAACTAAAAAAAAAAACTATTATTCTAATGCCAGAGTTGTTTCTACAAGGTAATTTGTTTCCTGCGAAGGGAAAAGGTGCAACTATAAAACTGATATCATCGTAATTTTCCTGATTCCATCAACTTCTTGGATAAGGCAAGAAAAAAGCTATGAGAAAAGACTTGTATGCTCTCAAAATCCTTCTCAATCACTCCCACGTTATCAAGTCACCTAGATAACTCAATGGCATGCCAAACTATTTGTCACAACTGTTTGAAGTCATAGTATTGTTACAGTAACAAAATAGCGAATGAGGGACACCTACGCCATTTCTTTTGCATGTTTCATAAAAAGGCCTGAAAATTTGCAGGTATGCATCCTTTCTCTGACTGATGATTTGGTGAAGAAACTTGATGTAGGAATTCTCTCTGTTGTTGTCAACCGCCAATGATGGTTTCACATACAGAAGGGTGAGAACCAGAATCTCATCATCCGGATAAACTGCTTCCTCCATAGCTTTCCACAGAGGGGACATACTCGTCTTCCCTGCACCAACCTTGATTCCCTCCAAGAGAACAACAACGCTCTTTTTGCTTATGTCCCTTCGTTTTCTAATCATCGTTGTCATATACATGAGCACTCTACTTCGCTCGAATTACTTTCAGAAATTTCCTGCTAACTCAAGTTGCAGAAACTCTATCCTTCACGTATTCATAATACCCAATTCATGCTTCACCATAGAGACTAACGAAAAACATTGAAAGAATCGGGCCTTTTGTCTTTTTTGCTGCCGCAATTTGCCACTTCGCTTGGGAAATCTTGAACAGGAATGCTTAGTTAGCATATTTCAAGAACACTCTTATGTTTCTTAGTTTATGTCAAAAGACAACGTGTCTGTCATCTACCATGGATGAAGATGTTGAATTCACGTACTTCCAGATTCTGTAATGGATTCTACGATATAGACAACGGGCGGTGAAATATCGTAAACGACATGATTTAGAGAAGGCAAAACAATGCTGACCGCCGTTATTAGTCTTCTCGGCGCGAATACCCCGAGAACACTCCACCGGTCCTGGCCTGCTCTCCGTGTTTTTTCTCCATGGCTAGCTTTCACTATGTTCTTTCACTCAAACTCCATATGTCACTTTCTGCTTCTCGTCATTCGCTGCTTTTCAGCAATGGTTGACTCGTACCTACCTCGCAATCTGCTCTTCTCCTTCCCTGAAACCACCATTGGATCTCATCTCTCGCAACCACCGCCATAGCTCCATCTCCAATCTTTTCCATTTCACTCGTCTACCACACAAATACCCGTTAGCTACCTCACAGAACAAAGCACACAGAGGACAATAGAGCAATAAGTAGAGAGTAAATACAAATCCTCTCCCAATTTTCCTTCAATTTTCTTTCTCCCCAAACGGAAAACCAGACCGAACCTCAAATCGCCGTCTCCCCCGCCTAGCACCGTCACCGAAATTCGAAATCCTCCCGCAGCCGCTCCACTCCGGATCCGTGCGCCACCAGTGACCAACGCTCAATTCCTTCATATACAATGAATTGAAAAAATTCATCATACTGCGGCCGGCGGGTCCTCTTTGCATCACCGAACAATAGATTCAATAGCATTCGCCCCAGGAAAAGCTGCTTAGCTTGTCTCTTAAAATGGAATGCGCAGTTTCTCCGATCTCCCGCCCTGTGCGATTGATTCTCATTGCAGTAATGGTGCCGCTCCACCTGGCTTGTTACTGAATTTTGATTGTTATTATTAAATTTCTTTTACCTGCCATATTCTTTATAAATTAACTTACATTTAACTTATTAAAATAAAATTTTAACCGTACCAAAACATGATTATTATATTATCTATTTAATAATATGAGCGTTATTATAAATTAAATTTATAAAAAAATCTGAAAAAAGAAAATTGAATAAAATTAAATAAGAAAAAATAATGATATTTTAAAGAAAGACATGGAAGAAAAGATAAATAAGAAAATTTAATTTTAAAATTAAACAACTAATAACTAAATAAAACATTGAGTGAAATGTGAAAAAAAAAATTTATTCTTATAATTAAACCTTAAAATGAATATATCTTCACTTTTATTTAAAATTTTACTTTAATTTTTTTATAAATAATTACTCACTCAGCTGCTTATCATCAGTTCTATATCGTAGAACTTTGGTGCTGAACTTGATCATGTTTCGAGAAAAATGACGAATTTATTGGATTGAACATGGGAGCTAAGATGCCATCAGTTGGATCATTTAAGCTCATCTCGAAACTAAATTCAGAATTTTTGTGGAATTTTCTTTGAAATTTACACTTGGTTTATCATTCAAATTCTACTTAATATTTTTTACACTTCAATGTTTTTCATTGTATAGTAGAATTTTTATTTCTTCTGGTTAAATTATATGTAAATTTCAAACAAATTTAGAAAATTCTACATATGTTCAAAAGATTATCCTTTTTTTTATTGTGATATTCTTTATTCGAGATAATTTTATAAATTGAATTATGGTCGAATTTATGGCTTTGGATTGTTGCAGGAAAGACTGGTTAGAGGTGTTGTATTTATCCATGAGACTTACATACATATTAGAGATAAATATAAATATTATTTGCACATAATCATTTACTGTATCAACTTCTCACTACAACTTAAATTTGTATAAATTTATATATCAGTGTATAACTACAACTCTTGTAATTCTTAGTTTTAAATAGTCCCTTGAGTATCAATAATAGATGAGATCAACAAAAAAAAATTTAACATAGTATTAGAGTTACTGTGCAACAAAATCTGATCTTTCTCCACAGTGAACACATCTCCTCTGCACAAGTGTTCATTGTGTGCCATCTTCTTCAGGATCGTCTGAGCACAGCCTGAGGTTGCTAGAGTTGTTGTCGTTCTTCTATTATATCTCTCTCACGTTTACATCTACATCACCGCACCATGTCCATTTAATGTATCACTGATCCCATCTTACCATATTACCTGCATCAATCAGCTAATGCAAGTACTGTTTTGACTTAAATAAAATTAAAAGGTGAAAACTATTCTTATTGGGAGTAGGCTGTCTTTTTGGCTTTGAAATCTCAAAACAAAGTTGATTCCATTGATGGAACTATATCCAAGCCCGCAATAACTGACCCTCAGTTTTTTACTTGGGATATTGTCAATTCTATGATATGTTTTTGGTTAGTTAATTCTTTCGATGATCTTATTCGTGCCCATCTTTCCCGTCTCACCAATGTTAAGGCAATGTGGGATTGCCTCAAAAC